AAAATCTTGTACAAAATTACGAATCATCTACAAATGTATTTAAAAAGAGAGAGCTAGAGAGTCATACAGACAATCTCTCGGCAGTTATAGGCTGGTTAAAATCTTGTACAAAATTACAAATCATCTATTTAAAAAGATAAGAGAGAGTGAGAGAGAGAGAGAGAGAGAGAGTGAGAGAGAGAGAGAGGGATATAGAGTTTAATGTCTAATCAACACAAACTAGATAATTTCGGGACGAACATATGGTTCAATTTTATTTCAACCCACGACTTGGACAAGCGCCTCTACTCCTTGTCATGTACCACTGGGGAATAGAAACCAACAGGCCACTTGACCTTATGATACAATTCGCACACGCTAACCATTCGACCATCCAACCCCCCTAGGTCATTTTGGAACTATACAGTACAAGTTTGTTTCAATAATTCGCTTACGCCTATGGGTCAAAAACAGTAGGATTGTGGGAGCAAAGGCAGAGGACTTGGACAAAACCCACAAGGTTGGGCCCCAAAGATTTTTCAAGCAAATTATTGTCTCGTCGTTTGGACGGCACCAATAAACAAGGTATAACTATTTTGGTGCAGAAAAGTTGGAAATTCAATCCAATTTATTTCATTTATAAATCAGGATTATTTCATTGTTTTTTAAACCAGTAATAAAAAGGCATTGAACTTTTACATAGACTAGACATGTATTCAATAAAAAAAGACTGATTGAGAGAAAATCTATAATATTAATAAATACCATGTCTGGAGACGGTAAGAGTAATTAATATTCTATAAATATCAAGTCTCTGATTATTTTAATATCCTGTCTTTTAAAGAATTGCTGATAGAAAGAAATCTTAACAAAAATCATTTAATCAATATATCAAGCAAATTGATTTTGAACAACAATGAATGTTTGACAGCAGAGATCGAGCGAGAGAGTTTCTTGTCCACTGAACACTAGTCATTGGTTTAATACTTGCAGTAGCGGCAGTATAGGACTGAAGTCTGTATCACTACAGGCCCGGGACAGCGCAGTGGATGCTTACGACTAACCCCTGGATCCACACACTTGATTTGATATTGTATATTGTGTCTTGTCCGTAGGTTTGTCTTGTATATTTGTTTTTGTGTGTGGTGCAGTCCCCCTGCACTTACTATATTAGTATGATACTTGCAGTACCAGGAAAGTGGAGATTTAGAGAGAGAGAGAGAGAGGAGAGAGAGGAGAGAGAGAGAGAGAGAGAGAGAGAGATGGGGTTTAATGTCCACTGGACACAAACTAGGTCATTTCATTTTTGACTAGCATATGGTTCAATTTTATTTCAATAATTCGCTTGCGTAGGGGTCCTTAGCAGTGGGAGGAAACCAGAGGACCTTGAGAAACCCACAAGGCTGGACAGGTGACCCTACTCCTTGTCACGTACAACCAGGGGATCGAAACCTTGCCAGTTGACTCAATGACAGACCTTATGATACAGCAAGCACACGCTAACCATTCGGCCACCCCCACCTTGAGATTTAGAAGACCCAGTAAAAACCCATGAGGTTCGGCAGGCTACCCTACACCTTGTCACATCGAAGCCTGGGATTGAAACCACAACACTTGACTTAACAACATGTCTGATGATCTAAAGCACGTGTTAGACCACACGACTAATCCCAGCCCCCAACAGCTTCATTCAGGAAGGGACTGGAATTTGATTGACAGATTTTCAGTTTTCATTCATAAGTGCATCTGACATATCTCCCTCTAGATAAACAACAAAACACAAGGGTCACTCAGCCATTCATTCAAAACTGACCACTGACCATCAGTCCAAAGGCTATTGACAACATGTGGTAACCCCTTGACCACCTACATGTATCATTTCTAATTCTAATCCCCCAAAACCTCAATGACATTAATACTAGCAATATTAGCGACTTTTGAGCAGACATCTTGATCAGTTATCTCTCCTAATTTTTGGTTTCAAAATGTCACTGAATATCCTCCTTTTTTTTTTAGGATGCAAAACTGGTTATATTTTGATTGGTGTAGAAAAAGCACATGCATTAAAATTAACAAGCTATGATGAATGCATATTTTGAAACAATCAAATAGAAAACTCGCATGTCAAGACAGTCGCTTCATATTTCAACATTAAAGTGTCTGATTGATGTTTAATCCCATTCTGCACTGTATCTACTTCATTCCTTGAAAATAGATCTCTGCCGTAAATGGCTGCCATATCCAAACATTAGTATACTGTTTTGTAATGCATTTGTACTCCATTTCACATCTGTCTTGAACACCCAGACTAAATAAACTTTTTCAATTTTTTTAAATGGAAGCAAAATAAATACTCAACAAAATTTTTGAAGTACACTTAGCGGTTTTCAACTAAAATCGTCAATTTAGGACATAAAATGTCAGTCAACTAGCTTATTGTCTGTTCTCAAGCGGAGCTAACTGTAGACAGACAGCCTAAGTTTAGTATGGTTTAATCCCTTACTGAAACTACAATATTGTGAAAGTTGAATCTCAGAAAGGAATATCTGTCCAGCAATGGTTGACTTCCGTTCAGTATTTACAAAGATATGATGAATCAAAAATTATAGTCAACACAAGCCAAAAACATGTGAGTTTCACTGACAGATTTTAATAAGCATCTTTTTAATCCAATTAAATCCAAGCCCGGAGATTATTTACTGACATTGATATTTTTTATTTTGTCATAATAATAAAATGATAAACATATGATAGGAGTACATTTTAAAATAAGTTATTTTATTATCGAAAATATGTTATTTTCCGAACAAAATGCAAAATTACAATCAGAGATGAGGCTTCAAATAAAGCACACAGTATTAACTTAAACAGGGCATTATTCAAGAGTCAAATCTGCCAACTGCAGGTCTTTCTTTAGGCCTTAAATGTTATATAAACTTTTAATTATTTATTAACATGACAAGACCATAATCAACTCTCAATGTCACCAGATGGGTCCGATTTTAAGTAGATTAGAACAGTTTGGCCATTTAATGACTTAATTTAAATAAGGTGGTTACAATCAGTGCACACATCTTGTCAAACCTTCAAAGGCTAATATCTTCAACCAGAATAAAGTAATTTGAATGAAATTTTCAATCTATTCATTTTGCATTATCTATTTTTGAACTATTATATCAAGAACAACCAGCTCTTATCTTACATAAAGTATCTTTAATAAAGATTATTGTCCAATGATAATACATCTCGGGGGCCTATTTCACGAAATTTTAACGAAGAAAAAATCCAAATTTAATAATTTGATTGGATAATATTAAATTAATTTTAGTGCTTATTGAATCAAAACTGAAGTATCTACTAAAATTTGGATTTGATCTTTAGTTAAGATTTCGAGAAACAGAGTCCTGAGCATGTATACTGCATTCAGACTATTTCACTTTGTACACTTACAACTGCCATGAGTTCGACCAATGTAAACAGGGCAAATTGATGTGTGTAAAGTTGTATAAATAGTGGAGCAGTAGAGGTGAGGGGTGAGGGGTCATCCCAAATCTTTGGGCTAATTAAATTCAGAATTTAATCCTCTCTACTGACAAACTTTACCAATAAGATCATTGATGTGTTGAAACAAGTCTAGACCTATATTAGTTTCGTTGTCTAAGTCAACATGTTTTTATGCAATGCAGAAGCTTATCCATCATGGCTTGCATTCGAAATATTTATAAGTATTACAAACATATATGTAGCCTATCTAGGCTTGCTATTTGGCAATTTGTTAATGAATACAGAAATGTGTTTTTGTATTTCCTGATATATTATAAGCTATTATTAGTCTGCATGTGTTTCTACAGTTGTTTATAAAATACAGAGTGTGTTTTATCCATTAGAACTTATAATCTACCTGTTAACAGAGAGCGAGAAAGTTAACCAACTCGAAGACAAACTAAGTCATTTTGGGATTAACAATTAACATGTACAATTTTATTTCAATAATTCGCTTACACATGGGGGTCTTTAGCAGTGGGAGGAGACCAAAAAGACCTGGAGAAAACATAAGAGGTGGGACAGGCAAGCTCACATCCTGGACAAGTTGGGACCGCTAAACAGGATGAATAATTTATGAAATGCAAAGGCCAGGCAAAACAGAAAGATGAATAATGACATGGTGCAATGTTGGGCAACATCTAGATGTTCATATGATGATGAATTTATATAAGCTCCGACTTGTTTTCAGATCCCACAATTATAAAATGTACTTTTATAATATGTGTCAGAAAAAAATAAATATGATGATGTTGGTTAATAATATGCTTTAATTGTATATATATAGGCTACACCTGAAATATTTTGCCCATCTTCCATGTACAGGTGTACACAGGACCCACATCTTAACACAGTGGTCTAAAGCTTGTTGTATTAAAAGCTTGGCTCTTCTAGTTTCTCTTATTAATAATCCAGTTTTATTTCAATTCAATATCACCTAATAATACTGGCATGCCTAATGTACATCATATTCATAATGTCAGGCCTATCTTTTGGGACAAACTATCTAGATCCCAGCCAAGCGTGACAAGCGTCGTCTGCTTCATAATTAATACAAATAACAACATAAAAGCCTATTCAGCCTAGATCTAATTATTTTCCAATAAGATAAGTATTACAACAATGATTAACAGGTTGTCGAAGTCAAAAATGAAAAAGACCGAATGTCTGCACACAAACCACACAGTCTTACATATGATAAATGGCGACTTGCTAATTCTAACTAACAGCTAGAGAAGCTTTCTATCGATCCGTGCCATTACAAACCATGGAACCATTCTGATGATCCCGATTCCTATTCCTGGCAATTCTGATTCCTGGCAATCACGCTATTATAGAAACATGTGGAGCCGTCTGCAGGCTTTCCACCTTGCTTTGCTTGTATTTTTTTATTTTATTTTCAAACAGATTAACGATGCACCGGCATTCTCTGGTTCAAATACATTACACATACAAAAATATCAGCGAACGTTACATACCTTATTGTGAAACAATTTAACAGTACTTCCCTTCGTAGGTTAAAATTATCCACACATTCACCTTACCAATTTCTAAATGTCAACCCGTTCTCTGCTAATGCTTCGCATATATATTGCACCACGTGACCGTTACCATCCAATGGATCTGTGGTATTTTGACAACTAGCGCGCGCCATGGATCGATCATTTCGCAGCGGTGTGTGTCTACTTTCAATTTCGTGTTCTTTTTTTTATCCTACAGCTGTCAAATAAAGAGAAGAAGCGAGTTTGTCACCATGAAATTGATCAGGTGCTAATTAGTAATTTTACATAGAGGACGGATTTCATTAATACATAATTGTATTTTAAGATGGCTATTGAAATTTTACTTGTGGAGTGTGAAATGGACGACTTATTATAAGTTATATTTCGGCACCTACATGTACCTGACTAAAGAAGACTGGCAGTGTGCTATGACTGAGGGAAATTTTGCCCAGGCAGCGGCGTTACGGCCTACCGTTATTACGAATGCCAACTGTCATGGGTTCTTAAAATTACGTTCACACCAACGTGTAAACGACAACTCGATTTTTCGTCCCACCCGAACAACTAGACTGTTCCTTGCCAGGCTCCCCGTCCTGCACCTCTGACAAATCCCACTGGAAAATCCCGGGGAACTTTCTTGGCCAATACCGTTAGCGAACCCGAGACCTCCTTTGTTAGCGGGTCAGACCCAAATTACTCACTGAGTCCCCACGATAGGCTACCCCTTTACCTATGAACTATGGCAAAAAAATTTGATGGGGCAGTGGCGAAAATCTACTGTTAGATCACTTAGATTTATTTATTGAATAGTCGATGCAGGTGTTTTTGAAAAAAAAATATATTCCCGTATGTAACAAAGATGATTATGGATAATTAATACCCCTAAATAAATAAACACGGTATAAAATTAGAGATTTTGATCTTTTAGTTATCAGAGTGTATATTATACAGTCACGTGAAATAAATTAACTCTCAAAGGTGTCATTTCGGTCGCTTTTATCTCAGTTGGTAATGCTCCAATAGGAAACTTTCAGGTTGATTAAATTTTGGTGAGCATCACAGATCTTACAAGAATGGTCGACTAATTGAGAATTCTCAGTACCAGACTGAATAAATGGCGAAATTAATTATTGAGAACTGACCTTTGGTCTCATAATCAATGATAGGCTGTATATTTCTATGTTTAGAAAATGCGTCATTAGCCTAGTAGGCTATTTGTACTGTTTGTGAACAACACCTGATGTGGCATTGTGTCTCTCTGCACAACTTAATCCTCCAGCATGCGTCAAAACCAGAAGTGTTAATTTGACAAACATTTCAATTATAAGAATGTATCTTCTCATGTTCCCTTCCCGGGGGGTTGGATGGCGGAATGGTTAGCGCGTGCGCGTTATGTCATAAGATTTGTCATTGAGTCAAATGGCGTGGTGTCGCCTGAACAGCCTCGTGGGGTTTTTTCTGAGTAGTCCGGTTTCCTCCCACTGCTAAAGACCCCTACGCGCAAGTGAATTATTGAAATAAAAATGAACCGTATGTTAGTCCCGAAATGACCTGGTTTGTGTTGAGTGGACGTTACCCCTCTCTCTCTCTCCCCTTCCTTTTGCCTATTAATCTCTCTCTCTCTCTCAGATCTCTCTCTCTGTTCCCTTCCTGTAGGCTACTAATGTTTCGTACCGTGGGCATAACAAATGCGCAGGCACCTGTAACTGTCGGATTTTTGATATTCGGATACTTTTGTCACTTTTTATTTTTTAATGTTATGATATTCGTTCATTTTGTAATTGTGGTTTGTCTGCGTGATATTTTTTTTTTTTTTTTTAATTGTTTCTTGTGCCACACAAGAAGGGAATTGAACTCCAATAAATACAATGCCAGGCAACGAAGTAAGCAATAGTGGCAACGCAGATCAGTTTCACCCAGATCCAAAGATCCTGCAATGTCGTTATTTTTAAAAAAATCAATGGGGTTTCTTCGTCTCATAGATATAACAAATGCATAGCAGATTCGACAAGAATTTACACAATAAATTGTGAAAGACTACGGGCGGTCGGATACACGCCGAGGTGACGGCAATATCGGACCACATTTCATTGTTCTGGTATAAAAAGACACGTGGAAACAAATCAAAGTGGTTTCTCTTACCAAAATAGAACTCATTGGAATTTTAGTGGCGGGAAATAGACACGTGGTTATATTGGGTATTGGAAGATTTGTTTATAATTTAAACAATAGAAAAGGAAATTGGCACCAGATTATCACTGGCATTCAAATATTGAACCCTTTGACCTTGTGGGTCAGCCTTTCGGCATTCGGCATGGCTTCCCGTCCAAACAATTTAATGATGATAATGATAGCAGCGTTTGATTGTTTGATGTGCACCGGGCTGATTGGTCGAGAAATAATAGGACGTGTTCTAGTCATAAGTATTTTGAACTGAAAATAGATAATGAGTCGATTACATTTGCACCTCTTATCATCTTTGACATTCCATCTAATGGTCGACCGATTTTTTGGGTACATCCGTGTTCTGTTTATTTGTGTTTAAAATCTTCGATAGGCCTACTTTAGTGTTAATTTGTTTTGCAAGTTTTCGGTAGGCCTTTCTTTAGTATTACAATCTTATATAGGCCTACTTATTGTTTATCAATGCATCAGAAAAGAAGTAAGAGTTTATTCTCCCAAATAAAATGGCGTTTAGCGTCCTACTGTTCTGCTCCGAGCTGGGCTAATTAAGACGGGCATGCGCCATATACAGTGTGCTATGAGGGAAATTTTGCCCAGACAGCGGCACTACGGCCTACTCTTATATCGAATTCCAACCGTCTTGGGATCTTTTACGTGCACGTCAATGTGTACACGGGGCCTCGGTTTTTCGTCCCATCCAAATGACTAGACAGCTGTCCTTGTCAGACCCTCCGTCCTGCATCACTGACAAGGGGGGACCACGCCGGAAAATCTGGATGAACTTTCTCGGCCAATGCAGGGATCGAACACCCGACCTCCAGGCTAGCGAGCCAGCGTCTTACCCACTTAGCCACCGTGATCCCCAAGAATTAATATCAGAAAAGAAGTAAGAGTTTATTCTCCCAGTCTAAGAATTAAAGCCATGGGGGTTTAAAACCTTTAGAATATGTATATAATATGCCTTAATTACGGAGGAAACTGAGGCCTCGACGCGTATGTTATAGAAAGAGAGTACAAGAACTTGCTCATTTTTAACCTCGTGGTCCTCTGGTTTCCCGCCACTGCTAAAGACCCCTGCTCATTTTGATTAAAGAATATTTTTGAAAATTCCAAAAATGTATGATAAATCTAACAACAATAAAAATAGCTCAATTCTTCAAGAAGTGCCATAAATTAATTGGGGGGGGGGGGGGATGGTTAGCACATTATTCTACGATAAGATGATTTATTCAACAGGGATATCAGTTTAAAACAGTTTCAATTCCTTTCAGAATTTACCAACGTTTGATTTATTGAACATTTTGCAACATTCGACATTCACGGCAGACGATATAATCAAGCCAGCACCACCTGTAAGTTTTGGGTAAAGTCTTCTTTTAATTCAATTGATTATCTGCATGCAATATGTTCCGGGAGAGGTGGAATGGCCGAATGGTTAGCGCGTGCGCATTGAGTCAACTAGCGTGGTTTCGAATCCCCGATTGTACGTGACAAGGAGTAGGGTCGCCTGTTCAACCTCGTGGGTTTTCTCCGGTTCCTCCGGTTTTCTCCCACTGCCAAAGACCCTTACGCGCAAGCGAATTATTGAAATAAAATTTTTAAAAAACCCATATGTTAGTCCCGAAATGACCTAGTTTGTGTCGCGTGGACGTTAAATCCCATCTCTCTCTCTCTCTCTCTCTCTCTCTCTCTCTCTCTCTCTCATAAATTAATTACAATAAATGCGCATACGGGAATCAGATTATATCATACGTTTGAAATTTGTTACACTACCACCATTCTGGACGCAGAAAACTATCTACTTTAATAATAGGTCTCAGCCCTGAATGGCCGCCATATTGAACAATATTGTGTACAAACAAAAGTATGTGGTTCTAATCTGTTTCATACACACAAAGACAAAATAAACATTTTCAATTTAATTATATATCAAATGGAAGCGGAATAAATACTTCTCAAAATTCTCGAAGTATACTTACTGTTTTCAACTATAGCTTCGTGTCAAAATCTGATTAAAACACAGATCCTATTTCATTTCGTTTTTATAGTTCAAAATATCGTTTTACTTGCCTTTACTACGCTAGGATCTGGAAGGGTTGTTATGTAAACTACGTTTGGGTTTATGTGAGGGACTAGCCATATGAAACAGTCTGTTGCGACAAGTATTCCACTAGAAACATTAACGCTGATTGGTTAATCAAAAGTCTGACGACATGGGGTCAAAAGCCTCCCACTACAACCGGGCTGATCTTCATTTAGTGGAGGCCAACGAAAGTATAAAAAAACCGAAACGAAATATAGATCTGTATTTTAATCAGATTGGCTTTATGTCTGTTCTCAAGCCGGGCTATTTTGCAGACAGACAGTGTAAGTTTCGTATATGTGCGCATTTAGCACTCGGAAAACCTCGGCAGATTCCAGTACCCTACATCTAACTGTAGGGTACCGGAATTTGTCGAGGTTTGCCGAGTGCGCATTTAGATCTATTCTGACTTCCATATTTAATTACACCTTCAAAATACGTTATTGGACCTTCAACATTTTCCATCTAGGTAATAATATGCCTGACATCAGTTGGCATTTCAGCAAGCTGAACAAATTACAACATGTGTTTGAAAGACACCACAACTGTCTTTCATTTCTAAATCAGTGCACCCAACCATATATTTACATAAAGTACATTTCTATAATTAGGCTTAACATGGTTTGAGTAAAACTGCAGGGAGTTATGGTGACTCGGTGGGTACCTTGCTGGTTCAATCCTGGGGTTAGTCGAAAGTGTTTCTCGGGATTTACCGATCTAGATTCACCTTGTTATTGGTCCCAGTTTTTCAGATGGGTCTAGTTTTTCGGATGGGACGAAGAAGGAATAAGTCCCCCCCCCCTCCTC